AMRASAYMTYWTWWWAARYSMTAKAAAAAMMMCATTTTCGCCCAATATCTTGTATACTTTTGACACAATTTGCAGGAACTTTTGACCGAATTGGAGTTTTTAAATACCATTTTTGAAAATTTGAAGAAATAAAAGTATTTGTTCTCAGCGGTATATGGTAGACATTGGTAAGCGAGCAAGGTAAACGATGCAACATGTTKGCATYGATTACTCCGACCGTTGAAAATTAACACGGCGATGYCCTACGAAAAGTAACAGATCACCTCTTTCGCTTACRATAGGGACGAAGAATTCTTCGATGCCACAGTTAACGAAGTATTTTTCTGAATATTAAAAAATAGCGAGGACTTCAGTTTGTTTGATCAGTTTGTAGGGCAGCTATATTTAGTTGTCTGATGTAATAATTTGTTCGGAGATTGTATCAGTTTTTTTTTTTTTTTTTTTGTTTGCGTAATAATCCTTGTCAAATTTCGTGCTAACATCTTGTCATATAAAGAACTTTTTCAAATAAAAACTCACGTATGGTCGGTTAGCTCGTATAGACGCTATATGCTATAATGGTTTGATATCGACGGTTTCGAAAAATAATCAACTTTTACGGGAGACAAGACAGATTTCAGATCTATATCTCAAAAAYCGATATATAAATTCGTAAAATATAATTTGGGTGTTACAAACATCGTAACGAACTTAATATAGACCTTTAAAAATATAAAAATTATATTTTGTTTAAATTTTCAACAACRCTATACTCAAATTCCCTTTTATTACAAAACTCAACTCTTTATTATTTCATTTATAAACGGAAAATATATTACTGTTAAAATCATACAATCATTAGCCGCACACTATCAATCAAATTATATAACAAAAAAAGAGGGCAATAATTACAAACAAAAAATATTTCCAAAAGCTAAGCCTCCGCGAGAGCCCATATCTCACATGCCATAAAAGTATGCTTTGGTCAAAGGTCGAGCTAATATGCATGTTTTATTTACATATCTACATATATACATATGACCATATACATATGTACGTATGTAAATACTTGCAATCAAAGCACAGTGCTTCTTTTGGTTAAACTTCCAAAAATCGGCGTTAATACCAGTTATTTGTCGCTATCGAATTGTGTAACCGCGCATCTCTCTTTCCACACACAACACATACGTACCGTGCTGCTATACACATTCGTTGGACGCTTACATAATTCTTAGAAAATACAAGATAAAAACAGAAACTGTAATGATGGCACCGCATAAACACTAAATGACTAAGTTTTGACTGACTTTGGAATTAACTGAGCGTATGCAAATGAGAGCTGTTGACTTTCGTCGCGACAAGGCCGAATTTCGATACAAAATTAAATGCATATGCAAATATATACATACTTGTGTGTATATGTATGTAAGATAAAGATTTGTGAGTTTTGTTTGTATTAGCGACTGCAGGCAACTGCTGTTGGCAACGGCAGTTTAGTTGTAGGGTTTTATTGCCAGACACAGTTAATGGATTTTGATGTTTTTGGCATTCTTCATTATGGCCTCACGGGAAAAACGATTATTTAGATAATAAATATAATAATAATAATTATAATAGAAACAAATTGAATTAAATAAAGTGTGGTGACTAATATACATATTCTTAAAACTATACAAGTGAAAAAAAAAGATGTTTTGGCATATACAGTGTTAGTCTAGTGAAATACAGATTGGATATATAAACACATATACATACATATGTATCTACAAAGTGAAGGAAGCAAAAACGCATAAAAAAAAAGAACAAAAAAAAGGAAGACTAAACGGAAACAAAAACAGCAGCGGGCGCGGAAATAAATAAATCACACCACCGGGCGCGGACTCCAACGAAAATGCAACAATGCGATAATAATAAAAACAAAGTGAACATACAATTCAAAGTACTTACAAAAGGAATTAAACGCAGGAAAATAGTAGAATACTAGGAGCAGTGGGATAATAATCATAAAGAAACAAGCATTTGGACAAACCGGAAATAAGTACACTCCCCCAAAATTCCCTTGGTACGCGAAAGGGTAAGTGTATCGCTTCTACTTTTTACTTATATGCATATACACACATATGTATGTTTAAAAAACTGGTTTGCCAATTATAACTCCGTTATAACTTTAAACAGTTCAACTAAACGGATACTAAAATTTGGACGATTCCGATTACTTTGGCGGAGGGGTAAAAAAACCGAATTTCCGTGTAAATGAGGTATGTGCGGATAGGGGAGCTTCTCCAGAAAAGGAATATCCAAAAATAATATAAAAATAACTTATATTTTTAAAAATATTCACGATTAAAAGTTCAAAA